GATTTTTATCCCTCATCTGACATTGAAAAACTCCCACATGAGAACAAGATCCCCAACTAATGCTATTATAGGTGCCACGTTGGAGGATCCCAATGCAAGAGTCGAGATCTGCATTTTAAACCTTTTGCAAAAACCCGGCTTTGTGCTGAATAATACTCTCGGGATCGGGGTTTCCTTTTTCACCTCTTGCTCTTTTTTTCTTTTTCTCTTCATAGAATTTTGCATATTTTAAGAAGCCGATAAATCAATTTTTCTGCTCAATATATTGGAGGTGTTCATCCAGTAGAAACTTTTGTGCATCATGCACAAACCTCACACTCACATGAAAAGGAGTTGAAAGAGAAGAAAGTTAATGCGTCACTGATTCTCAATTGTATAACAAGACTTTCTGCATGAACAATGACACACATTTTTGACCTTGCTAACTTTCCACTAATAATGTTAATCCATCAATTTAGACGACACTTATTTTTTTTCAGAAAATATTTCTTCATGGGGTCTCAACTGTTGACGGAACTCGGTCGAAAAGTTATTCACATGAAAAGATAACATGCGATTGTCATCCTGATAATAAACAGAAACATCAAGAGCTTTCTCGTCTGCCAAAAAAAAAGAGAGAGGGGGGAGGGGGTTGGCTGAGCAGGGTTTTTGAATTGAATTGCAAACTATGATAATCAGCCAGGACGCGGATGGAGCATTTTCACGCCCGGTGGAACTTCAATTTCCATCATCCCTGGATGGAAGTACAGTATACTATATTCTGTATACTGTATATACGTATAAATATTCCCCCCCCCCCGGGGGATGCAAATATGCGAACTCAAGAGGCTTTTGTCTCCCCGGAGTTGATTAGTTATCAAGGCACGGATCGGAGGGAAAATCTGCGTAGGGCAATCCGCATTCAGCAGCAAAAAGGTCGATTTCAAAGCCTCTGCAGGAGGGCAAAAATAAAAGAGAGAGAGAGAGAGTTATGTTGGAAGAGTGAACACTCCCACTTCATGCCTGGGATCCCTTCTTCTGGGATCCTCTGAGAATCTGCATGGCAAGTGTTACCAATCTGGAGTAAATAAAAAGTAAATTCTTCACCAATCAGCATTCACTCTGAGTTCTTAAAACAAAAACACATTCTACTTGAGATACATGTCCCATTATTCTGTATGTGACATTTGAAACTTGAGCAGTTGGAGCTATACTTTTTTTTTGCAGTACAGTGAGACCCTGAAATATGGACACCCAGACATATGGACAATTTGATTTATTGACACTTAGGTCTGAAAACTATGCCCTCAACATACAGACATTGACCCAAGATACAGACACTTTTCCTAGATTTTTGCAAGAATTTAAATGTTTTTAAATTTTGCATTTAAAAAAGGAATTGAGCTATTTATATTTACAATGCTAAATATGAATTTCATCATAAAATTGCCTATATTCATGATCTAAAACAGGCCAGTCTTTTGCTTCTTTTTCTTCAGTTTTTTCCATCATTTGTGCTCAGTATAGCAAGACTTGTTCTGGGTTTTTGCTTCTGGAGCTCTCCTCCTGATGGCAAAAGATCAGATTCTGTGTGGTTTTCTACTGTAAAATTATTTTATGCATCTTGAAGTTGAGAAAAATTCCTTTTTATTGAATGTTCAAAGGACTCTTTCTTAACTTTTCAACTAGAGATGAACCAATTAAAAAGATTCCCATTGAAGTCTGTGGGAAAATTAGGTCTGACATGTGGATGTTCCAACTTAGGTACAATGTCCATGCACCAATTATATCTGCATCTTGGGGTCCCACTGTATTTCCTGACTAGATGTCTTATTGAAAATGAAATAAAATATTGCACTAGTGAATATTGCATGAGTCAGGTTACAGGTGAGCTCTATATATATAAAAAAGCATGTTTACAATATTTGTATCTTTAAAATGAAACTTTCATTCCCCCTGGGTTCTGTCTCCGATTTTGTGGGGGTTCTACAACCAATTCTCTCCACAACACATTTTTTGTGTCCCTTGGATTTTGCTGTGAAGAGAGTTATTAAAAACAAAGAAGAAGAGACCCTCAGCATTTCCAATCAAACTACTGTACTATGCTGATACAGGTGTGCCATAATAGAGACCACATAAAATGAATAGCAAATGTTGGATAGCATTGATATTTTTATCAAACAGGGACCTCAAAATGAAATTTTTTGTAGCCAGATGCATTGTAAAATAGTCCTACATAACAATTAATTTTCCAGACCTCATATATTTATTGTATTTTGGAATCTGAAAAGGGTTTTCTGTTGGTGATCACCTGGTTAGGAGAGATGTTGACCTTCTGATAAAGTATTCCACAAATAAGATTTTTGCATATTCTTGATGATAAAAGAAAGCACATGGAGAAATTCCTTGCATTTGATTCATTTTAAAATAATGAGTGGCAGATTTCTGGGTCAGCATTCAATAAGCTTATAATTTCTACATTGCTACAAAATTATTTTTCATCTCCCATGGCAGTTGAATAAAAAAAANTGCAAATATGCGAACTCAAGAGGCTTTTGTCTCCCCGGAGTTGATTAGTTATCAAGGCACGGATCGGAGGGAAAATCTGCGTAGGGCAATCCGCATTCAGCAGCAAAAAGGTCGATTTCAAAGCCTCTGCAGGAGGGCAAAAATAAAAGGAGAGAGAGAGAGAGAGAGAGAGAGAGAGAGAGAAAGAGAGAGAGAGAGAGAGAGAGAGAGAGAGAGAGATATGTTGGAAGAGTGAACACTCCCACTTCATGCCTAGGATCCCTTGTCCTGGGATCCTCTGAGAATCTGCATGGCAAGTGTTACCAATCTGGAGGAAAAAAAAGTAAATTCTTCACCAATCAGCATTCACTCTGAGTTCTTAAAACAAAAACACAATATACTTGAGATACATGGCCCAGCATTCTGTTAGTGAGATTTTAAACTTGAGCAGTTGGAGCTATACTTTTTTTTGCAGTACAGTGAGACCCTGAAATATGGACAATTTGATTTATTGACACTTAGGTCTGAAAACTATGCCCTCAACATACAGACATTGACTCAAGATACAGACATTGACCCAAGATACAGACACTTTTCCTAGATTTTTGCAAGAATTTGAATGTTTTTATATTTTGCATTTAAAAAGGAATTGAGATATTTATATTCACAATGCTTTGCTAAAAATGAATTACATTAAAAATTGCCTATATTCATGATCAAAAACAGGTCAATCTTTTGCTTCTTTTTCTTCAGTTTTTTCCATCATGTGTGCTCAGTAATCAGTATAGCAAGACTTGTTCTGGTTTTTTGCCTCTGGAGCTCTCCTCCTGATCGCAAAAGATCAGATTCTGTGTGGTTTTCTACTGTAAAATTATTTCATGCATCTTGAAGTTGAGAAAAATTCCTTTTTATTGAATGTTCAAAGGACTCTTTCTTAACTTTTCAACCAGAGATGAACTAATTAAAAAGATTCCCATTGAAGTCTGTGGGAAAATTAGGTCTGACATGTGGACGTTCCAACTTAGGTACAATGTCCATGCACCAATTAAATCTGCATCTTTGTGTCTCACTGTATTTCCTGACTAGATGTCTCATTGAAAATAAAATGAAATATTGCACTGGTGAATATTGCGTGGGTCAGGTTACAGGTGAGCTCTCTCTATATAAAAAAGCATGTCTACAATATTTGTATCTTTAAAATAAAACTTTCATTCCCCCTGGGTTCTGTTTCCCATTTTGTGGGGGTTCTCTACAACCATCAATTCTCTCCACAACACATTTTTTTTGTCCCTTGGATTTTGCTGTGAAGAGAGTTATTAAAAACGAGGAAGAAGAGACCCTCAGCATTTCCAATCAAACTACTGTACTATGCTGATACAGGTGTGCCATAATAGAGAGCAGAAAAAAATGAATAGCTAATGTTTGATAGCATTGTGATTTTTATTGTACAGGGACCTCAAAATGAAATTTTTTGTTGCCAGATGCATTGTAAAATAGTCCTACATAACAATTAATTTTCCAGACCTCATATATTTATTGTATTTTGGAATCTGAAAAGGGTTTTCTGTTGGTGATCACCTGGTTAGGAGAGATGTTGACCTTCTGATAAAGTATTCCACAAATAAGATTTTTGCATATTCTTGATGATAAAAGAAAGCACATGGAGAAATTCCTTGCATTTGATTCATTTTAAAATAATGAGTGGCAGATTTCTGGGTCAGCATTCAATAAGCTTATAATTTCTACATTGCTACAAAATTATTTTTCATCTCCCATGGCAGTTGAATAAAAAAAACCTGCTCTGCCCAAGAAAGTTCAGAAATGAAATTTGTCTTTTTCCATTGGGAACGCAAGTTTTGAGCATTCTGAATATTTTTATTTCGCGCTCTCTAAATTCAAGTAATATTTCTCCCTTGTATTTTGTGATGAAGTGAAGAAGCTTCTTCAGGGCTCTGCAAAGTGCAGACTTAGATCCATTGGCATAAAGAAGTGATGAATTCCAAACCAAGAATCTTTCTTCTACACCAAAAAGCATGAATGTGAATGATTGATTGATTTCTATGCAACTTTATTTGCTGCTTATCAGCATTCAAAAGGTTTAAAAAAAATTGTCCCTCATATGTACAGTATATTGTATCCCATCCTTCCAACCCTTGTCCTCCCATTCATTCAAACACATTCTAGGATACAGGTGCAGTATTAAAGGAAAATACATTGCAGGAGATACAAATGCGTGAGTTGCCATGTTTTTTTCAGACTACAAAAAGTAATAATCTCAGCACAAGGTAATTACAAAGCTCACAATTATGGTAACTGTTTCTTGTAATTTGGCCTGAAATGTATTTGCAATTTTATCACAAAATGTCCCTATTTTGAGTCAGTGTCCTCATGTTGGGCCTTTTTATTAATTTTTTCAAAGAAAATAAGTGTCCCTATGTCAAGTTGTCTGCAGGTCGAGGTGTCCGTATGTGGGGGTCTCAATGTAATTTTAAATCTTATTAAATTTGAATTTGCTACAGGGTAATATACGCACAAAAGATGAATAACTCACTAATGAAGGGGTTTTCGTGAATGTAGTCATAGAGCCGTTGGGAGCCAACACAGAACGCGCTGACGGTTTTCCCGGGCGATAGTCTCTTGAGATGGTTCGTCACTGCACCAGTCTCGATGAGGTCAATGAGCCCATCGCTGAACATCTCAGAGTGGATTCCCAGGTGCTTGTGGCCAGACAGGGCGTGCAGGGCCGCGTCGGGTATGGCTCCAATCCCTGGATTTCATTTTTCAATGAGGGATAAACATATACTGTACAGTACCATCAAGCCCCTCGGGTGCGGACCGACACCAAATTATTTCCTAGACTGTATCCACATGTTGGATCAGCTGAAGATCTTTCCAACACAGGCTTCATTGACTTTATTGCTGTTTAAAATGAGCCTGTAGGAGTTGTGACTTCTATGTCGTTTATACCCTAAGTTTTGACGTGGTCCTCCTTCCGATATGTGACCTAATGTCGAGGGTAGACTTGGTTCAGTCGATGATTTAATCTCTATCGTTCTCAATTCTTTCTGACTTCGACCTGGCCCTCTGGATGATAGCTGAACTAAGGCTGTATTCACAGAAAGAGAACCAGCAAAGCATTCACTGACAGATATACCATCAAGCCCCTTGGGTGCGGACCAGCACCAAATTATTTCTTAAACTGTGTCCACATGTTGGATCAGCTGCAGATCTTTCTAACACAGGCTTCATTGACTTTTTTGCTGTTTAAAATTAACCTGTAGGAGTTGTGAATTCTATGTCGTTTATACCCTAAGTTTTGACGTGGTCCTCCTTCCGATATGTGACCTAATGTCGAGGGTAGACTTGGTTCAGTCGATGATTTAATCTCTATCGTTCTCAATTCTTTCTGACTTCGACCTGGCTCTCTGGACGATAGCTGAACTAAGGCTGTTTTCACAGAAAGAGAACCAGCAAAGCATTCACTGACAGATATACCATCAAGCCCCTTGGGTGCAGACCAACACCAAATTATTTCTTAGAGTGTCCATATGTTGGATCATCTGCTTGTTGGATCACATTTTCCCTTAGACTTGAATGGGAACATGTTAAATCACTTTCACATGAAACCAAAAAATTGAGAAAATTCTTTTTTAAAAAACAAGCAATGTACAGTATTTCTTAGCTTTAAAACATAGAAAATAACAAAAGTAAACCTCACAAAATATGTCCTTCTGACATGAAAACAAATCCAAAAGACAAAAAAAAAGCACACACATGCTACTGCACTGGGTCCTCAATGGATGGAAGCCCTTTCAAAGATAAGCGCACAGTTGCCTGCATTGGAAAATTAATCCAAATAAATTTATTCTTGGACAAGCTGGGATGCCCAGCCACACCTGGGCATTGCACAAATTTTAGTTCTGAAAAATTATGAGAACAGGTCATACGTTATGCAGAGAATTGAAGACATTTTGTGATTTGAAGTTTTTTGGTTGTACTGTATAAGGACCACCAGTAATCTTTTAATTGTGCTCAATGCACCAGTTATTGCCCTATAGTAAATTTGTTGCAATCATGAATGTTGTGTGAATTTTCATAATTTACAAAAACAGGAACCTGGAAGAGCTTCCCTAGGGCTGGATGGGAGGGATTCAACAGGGTAGTATGGAAGGGAGCACTGTGGCGTGCAAAAATTGAAAAAAATGTGCAAAGCCACCGTCCAACGCAACTTAATTATAGTGGATAAAAATAATTAATTAATTTTCAATTTATTTCTGGAATGGCCTAATTTGTTCCAAGGGATATCACAATTTCGAAAAGTAATGTTTTTTGTGGAAATTTTGGCAGTGTGCCTAAAATTATTTTATATCAATAGCAAGTTTTCTGCAATTTAGCGCATGTGCAAAATAGTATGTAAATGCTTTCTGCGAGTGATGACAACTTTCTGCAGGTACTGTAATACAGTATACAAGTATTCGAATAATGAACTCTGTAAATGGAATGGCCATAAAATCGTTTTAACTTAAAAATTGCACATACAGTATCAGGTCGAAATCCCTGCTTATTTTCTCAAGTCCAGTATTTTGGAGTTGCTTCAAATTCAACTTGAAAAGGTTTGGCTTTGTGTTGAGTATGAATGTGCCATTACCCAGTTGAAGCGTGGCTCCATCCTGCACCAGCTCCTGGGCTATCAGTTGTCCAATTTTATCCTCCGCAGGCGACCGTTTTCTGCACGGATGTTGTGGCATCGGCCTGTGATCTTCCACAAACGCGTCCACGTGGGATTCGTGGATAATCCCGTCGCCATAGGTCAAGGGTAAGTTCTTGTTGACCTGAGCTGCGCTTCCGGAAGATTACAGCTTTCAAAATTAATTCATAAATACAGTACGCAGGTGCAAGATGATTCTCTTATTGATTTCAAGAAGATGACAAGAGTAAGAAAAAACTTCACTGGAGCCAGATGAAAGGCAATGAGGAGAAGGAGGGGACCATGACTTATTGATTCATTGCTCTGATTTAATTTCTGTGAGGTTGGGAAATTANAAATGTCCCTATGTTGAGTCAGTGTCCTCATGTTTGGCCTTATTTATTGATTTTTTTCTGGGAAAATAAGTGTCCCTATGTCAAATTTTTTGCAGGGTCAAGGCGTCCGCATGTGGGGATCCCACTGTATAGCACAAGGCCTGATTTGAGCAATGCGATATGGATGGAAAAATAAATCCTGATATTAAACGATTTTGAGAATTAGGATACAGTACTTCGATCAAAACGAAAATTGGAAACCCTGGCGGCGAGTCAGACAAATGTACTGTACTGAACAGGCCTGAGCAGGAAGTTGAGCCACGTTAGCCCCGCCTTCAAAACACCTACAGGAGCGGGGGGGACCAGCAGTGTTCCCTCCCTCCACCACCTTTCCCAAGAGGGTGGGGGGCGTGTCCTTCACACTTGGTCACCCGACGACGCACACACCCCCCTCCCCCCGGTCTTTCGCGGGAGGAGGGGCTTCCGATGATGACCGGACCCAACGGGAAGAGGCCGCCGCCTACGTACCCGCAATCCTAGTTCGCCGATTTCCGGCGGGCTAATTTTCTTGCCACCCCTCCGGCGGCTTGCTGGCGTACTGACGCTCGGACCGCCGCCGCGACTTCCGCTCACTTCGTCGCTGTCGGTGTCGAGAACCGGCACCACAATAATGTAGGTGTTTTTTTTTGTAATCTAAGGAAACACCTTTTTTATTTCAAGCCCTTGCGAAAAAATGGAATCATCTCGAAAAAATCAAATTGATTATGTTTTCGTTCAAACGTGTCGAGCTATTGAAAGTGAACTTCTCGCGCTGTCGGTGTCGATGAGAACCGACACAACGACTTGGGTACTTTTTCTTTTTCTAGGGAATTCTCTTCTAATTTCAAAGCCTTCGCCGAAAAAATGAAATCATCTCGAAACATTAAATTGCTAATATATTCCTTCAACCGTGTCGAGCTGAACGTGAACTTCTCATTTTATGCGCGCAAAAAATCCCAGTTTGTCTCTCAGAGAAAGGAACCGCGTCAACAGTGTTTATTGGACAAAAAGTTTTGCATTTTAATTTTTACAACACAAATGACAAAAAACGTTGAATGGGTTTTGCTGGTAAATGGGGATATTCATGCTTTTATGAGAAAAAGAAACTAAATTTGAGCCTGTTTCCACATTATTTCTCCCCAAAAAATAAAACAAAATTCGTCGAAATTCCAAGGGATCCCTTTTGTATAATAAACAATTTTGCTAGAGCTTTGGTTGAGATAAAATTTTTCAGAGCCCCCATAGACTTTTCCGACCTCAAAAAACGTATTCCGAGGTGAATAAAATGGCAAAATTCGGCACATTTCGTTTACACCTTGAATTAATTACTGACACATACATTTACCGGCATTTTTTTTGCAGACAGCCTTTAAATTAACAAAACTTCTGCTTTAATATGGGATTTCCTCTGTGAAGTTCGCGAGGAACACTTGTTCATCTTTGTGAGAACTGGGGCAATTAAATGTGAGAATAAGGAATTTTCAAGTCATTATAACACATTTGAAGTTACATATGCTGGATTAATACACTATTGCGCAATTCATCAAAGGAAAATACTGGGTAAATATAATTACAGGACTGAACTGAAGATGAAGGTCTTCAGCAGGTACGTGGTTCTTGGCCATATGTTTAACATCTGAACATTACGAAAATTGGAAAGCTTGAAAATATAGCTGAGCAATATATGAAAGTAACAAAAAGAATGTGAAAAATCGCCATCCCGTGTTTATGGCTAATGTGATACACGTTGTGCCCCGCAATTCAACCCTAATTAATTGGGTAAACGTAAAGGTAAAATCCAAAGCAGTCAAATTGCGAGACAACGTCAAATTTGATGTTCTCTGCATTGAATTTGACATTTTGAGTCTCTCTGCTGTCAAATTGTGGGACAAGAGGTCAATTTGCAAGTTGATGTCCCAGCAAATTTGACCATTGAATTGCGGGATGGACAAATTGCAGGACATCAAATTGCAAGGTACCACCTGTATACAGTACACAAATTTAAAAGAAAGTTGTGGAAATGAGCAAAAGAATTTACTTCTTGTCCGAGAAGACAAAATACTTTTTAAATCCAGTACTTACTTTTTTTTTAAATTCTCCTGTAATGCTTTCTATTTCTCATCTTTGAAGTTGACTCCAGTGAATTTCATTCGTGGATGAATTGAAAAAATTAGTAGGGAGGAAAGTGCCAAAAGAAAACACACAAATCGACCGAGTTTTTCTTGGTCGAAAGGAAGAAGCCGAGGTTAATGGGTGCAGGTACGTGAAATTTTCATCATTT